AACCTTCCTGCGGGTGGTGAGTCCACTGGAAGGTACCAACAGCCCTAACCGGGATTCGAACTTGCCCAGGAGGTGAACCCTGGGGTTCCACACCAATGACAGAGACATTGCCTCTGGGCCAAAGCGCCACTGAAAAACTTGTCCAAATCATATTTTTAATTTATATTATCATTATATTTCTGCCTTTTCCCTGCAACGCTATAAGCATTTTAGCCTTTTGGCATGACTTTTACATGTCTTTTATCTTAGTTCACATGAACGCTCCATCTACTTCACATCTCTGTTCCTGACCAGCTGATCACATGAGTCATGATGTCTCTCCTGTTCACCCTTTTCCCAGCTCCACAACACCAGGTCTGTTTACTTGCTTCCCCATCCCATTTTTTAAGTATTACCAACGACGATGCTGTCCATGGGCGCTCTCCCTGCACTCTCTGAGACTGTACGATCCGCCGTCCCCAGGTTATGTCACATTCCAGGGAACATGTCGAAACAGAGCTCACCTGAAACCAAAATAATCACATGCTCTCTGTTTTCACTGAGAGCAGCACCTGCAAAAGGAAAGTCAAGTTCTCACTTCATCTGAGGTTAGGAAAGGAATTCCCGATGGAAGCGATTTCAGTCCCCGAGCTGAGAAAACCCACTTTCAATCCACTCTGTTTCGACTTTAAAGTTGAGGTTAAATGTAAGTAGTTCCACAGCCGGAATGTTCCAGTGCAGTCAGCTGTCAGTTTACACCTTCACCTGTCGCTGACATGTTTCCAAACACGCTCTCACTTTCACACGTCCTGCTGTTGTTCATGCTAAAAAAAGAAAATTCCCCCCAGATTTTATTCTGCACTGCCAGATTCTGCCCTCTACTCCATCCTATCACTTCATCTTTCTCTCTCTCTCTCTCTCTCTCCCTCTGTCACTGTATGTCGATTGCCCAGTCATGACAGCGACATGTGGAATTTTTCATTACCTCGCCCCGGGGGCACCGCACTGTCTCTGCCTGTGTATCCCTCTGTGTGTTTTCTCCACACACTCCTGCCTCCTCTCTCTCTCTCTCTCTCTCTCGCTCACTCTCTCTCCCCCCTCTCACCCTCTCTCTAACACCCTCATTCTCTCTTTGGTTTATTATTCAGAGTCAGCTGCCGCGAGCTGTTGTTTGTTGTTTTTGTTGTAGGCCAGCTCTATGGCGCAGTAGCAGCTGTCACTGACCGACCTCCTCTCCATGGCCTGTCATCCGTCTGCCGCCGGCTCCTACACTGTGGTCATCAT